GCTTGGGTTATCCTGGCTTATACACCCTGCTGGGTTACTAACCCAGGATAACATAATGGCCGTGTTCTTGGGTTATCCTGGCTTATCCACCTGCTGGGTTACTACCCAGGATAAACACTCCATGGCCGTGCTTGAGTTATCCTGGCTTATCCACCCTGCTGGGTTACTACCCAGGATAAACACTACATGGCCGTGCTTGGGTTATCTTGGCTTATCCACCCTGTGGGTTACTAACCAGGATAACACTATATGGGCGTGCTTGGGTTATCCTGGCTTATCCACCCTGCTGGGTTACTAACCCAGGATAACACTACATGGCCGTGCTTGGATTATCCTGGCTTATCCACCCTGCTGGGTTACTAACCCAGGATAACACTATATGGGCGTGCTTGGGTTATCCTGGCTTATCCACCCTGCTGGGTTACTAACCCAGGATAACACTACATGGCTGTGCTTGGGTTATCCTGACTTATCCACCCTGCTGGGTTACTAACCCAGGATAGCACTACATGACCGTGGTTGCGTTATCGTGGCTTATCCACTCTGCTGGGTTACTAACCCAGGATAGCACTACTTGACCGTGGTTGCGTTATCCTGGCTTATCCGTCTTACTGGGTTATTAAGCCAGGGTCTGGGACCAAGGCAACATAGAAAATGTTAGAGTCTCAGACCGTTTTCTTGTACAAAGTTGATGCGGTGTCTTACCCAGTCATGGGGCCCTCACTGCGGTCCAGGACCAGTCATGGGGCCCTCCCTGTGGTCCAGGACCAGTCATGGGGCCCTCCCTGTGGTCCAGGACCAGTCATGGGGCCCTCCCTGTGGTCCAGGACTAGTCAGGGGGCCCTCCCTGTGGTCCAGGACCAGTCATGGGGCCCTCCCTGTGGTCCAGGACCAGTCATGGGGCCCTCCCTGTGGTTCAGGACTAGTCATGGGGCCCTCCCTGTGGTCCAGGAGCAGTCATGGAGCCCTCCCTGTGGTCCAGGAGCAGTCATGGGGCCCTCCCAGTGGTTCAGGACTAGTCATGGGGCCCTCCCTGTGGTTCAGGACTAGTCATGGGGCCCTCCCTGTGGTCCAGGAGCAGTCATGGAGCCCTCCCTGTGGTCCAGGAGCAGTCATGGGGCCCTCCCTGTGGTCCAGGAGCAGTCATGGAGCCCTCCCTGTGGTCCAGGAGCAGTCATGGAGCCCTCCCTGTGGTCCAGGACCAGTCATGGGGCCCTCCCTGTGGTCCAGGACCAGTCATGGGGCCCTTCCTGTGGTCCAGGACCAGTCATGGGGCCCTCCCTGTGGTCCAGGACCAGTCATGGGGCCCTCCTGTGGTCCAGGACTAGTCATTTCGCCTCCCGAGTGGTTCAGGACCAGTCATGGGGCCCTCCCTGTGGTCCAGGACCAGTCATGGGCCCTCCCTGTGGTCCAGGACCAGTCATGGGGCCCTTCCTGTGGTCCAGGACCAGTCATGGGGCCCTCCCTGTGGTCCAGGACCAGTCATGGGGCCCTCCCTGTGGTCCAGGACCAGTCATGGGGCCCTCCCTGTGGTCCAGGACTAGTCATTTCGCCTCCCGAGTGGTTCAGGACCAGTCATGGGCCCCTCTCTGTTGTCCAAAACCAGTCATGGGGACCCCCATTGGTCCAGGACCAGTGTATATTCACTGAGAGATGTATAGATCTCAGTGTATATTCACTGAGAGATGTATAGATCTCAGTGTATTTACACTGAGAGCTGTATATCTCCTCTCAGGGTATATACACAGAGGTGTATATCTCTCAGTATATATACACTGGTAGTTTACAATAAATTATAGGTGTTAAACATTCTTTATGAGGTTCTTGTAGTAGATAAGCTTCAAACCCCATTAACCAACCACTGGAATATTTGAAAACCCCGGAAAAGTCCAGGATAACCCGAGAAAGCCAGGCAGAGTGGCTTACTTCCTTTGAGGACGTTAGGTCCTTCCCCCAGGATGCCACCCACAACACCCAACTAACACATAGGTACCTATTTACTGCTAGGGACAGCAGGTGTAAGGGGACTAACAACCATGTACTGTGTATGGATGATTGTGATTGGATGAGTGTGTATGAATGAGTGAATGAATGAAAGTGTATGGATGAATGTGTATGGATAAGTGTGTATGAATGAGTGAATGAAAGTGTATGGATGAGTGTGTATGGATAAGTGTGTATGAATGAGTGAATGAAAGTGTATGGATGAGTGTGTATGGATAAGTGTGTATGAATGAGAGTGAATGAAAGTGTATGGATGAGTGTGTATGGATAAGTGTGTATGAAAGTGTATGGATGAGTGTGTATGAACGTGTATGCATGAATAATTATGGACGAGTGTAAATGGAAGAACATGTATTGAGTGTGAATTAATTACGAATGTGTATGGATGAGTGTATGAATATATATAGATGAATGTGAGAATGTGAAATTTTTTAAAAATAATAATTATTAATAATAATAACAATAAAAATTTCAAAATTTTATGTTATTATTAAATAAATTAAAAAAACTTAATTAATCTATTTATTAATTTAAATTGCATGTAATTAAAAGCAATTAATTACATGCAATTATTAATTTTTTGTATGTATTATAATGCTTAAATAATATTAAGATAAACAATGTAATTTTAATTTTAATTTTTTTCTTCTGTCGTCACTGTAATGGTGAACTATTTTATATTTCACAGAATTTGACTTTTTGTTTTATGAACTATTGAATTGTGTTATGTTGTAGTTTTTGAGGCCTTTTACCTGTGCGTGTGTGTGTGTGTGTGTGTGTGTGTGTGTGTGTGTGTGTGTGTGTGTGTGTGTGTGTGTGTGTGTGTGTGTGTGTTAACCTCCTACCTCTCTATTACAACCTCCAACCCCCTCCAACAATCTCCACCCCCTCCAACACCCCCAGCAACCTCCACACACCCCCACACCTCCGCCCATGGAGCCACACCTCACCACGGCAATTCATTTTCTCGTTTAAAAAGATCTATTTATTGTCATAAGTGTTGTATGCGGCACTCGTACCCCACCAGTAACATATATGTATGTCTGTATACTATACAAGACCTCACTGGGGAAGGGAAACAGTACCCACTGGGGTATACAAGACCACACTTGGGATAGCAGTATACCCTTGGATACCACTAAAGAGATTTCAACAGCACCCCGGTGCTCTTTACGACTTCAATAAATGCAGAATCCTTTGCCAGGACTGCTTAAGAAATCTAAACCGCGTCGACATAAGGCTAGGCAACGTTTCGCACCGTTCTAAACCATTATCAAGACACTAGGAAGGGTCGAAACGTGGCCTAGTTCTACATCTCGCTTCCGTAACACCAGTGCCTTGTACCAGTCACGTTACCGTGATTGGTATCTTAGAAGCTGAAGAAATACTCTCGCAAGAGTACCACTAAGGTCAAAGTTGTATAAAACTATATCGCCAATAAAGGTATCAGCTTGAAGCAATATCAGGCCTCTCTATACACATCTCATGGTTAAAAAAATGAGAGTGATAATGCTTGTCTGAGAGAGGGCGTGGGAGAGTACGCAAACTACTGTACAAACATGAGTACACGTGAGAGTACTGAATACTTACATAGTACATGATATACCCTGCTTGGTTGACTAGGATTATTTTTTTTTCCCCAAAACGATGTTTTGACCCTTTCGTTCCCCTGTCTTGCCCTCCCTACCAGCATTGCTTATTTTGGTAGGGTAATCCAGGTAGCTACCACCACCATCACTATTACCACCACTATTGTGACCACTAATACCACTACTACTACTACTACTACTACTACTACTACTGCTTCTACTACTACTACTACTACTACTACTACTTCTGCTACTGCTATTGCTACTACTGCTACTATTCAACACTTTCAAAGCTCTACGTTACGGTTTTCAACGTCATAAAGGCTGCTGTTCTGGTTGGACTATTGCATCACAAATAGTCTATTGTTACTGGAATTTAAGACAATAGTCACTCAAAAGATTGTCTGAGATGCACTATCCCAGTGATAGTTTGGGATTATATTCTGGTGATAGTGGTAATGGTGAGTGTGAAATCATTAGTGATGGTGATGAATGACTGTTAGTAGTTACAAAAGTGATGCTGTGGTTGTGGTAATGACATTAGTGGGGGGGGTTATGGTGTCAGCAGTGGAAGTGATAATGGTGGTGGTAGAGATTGTGGTAGAGGCAGTAGCGGTAGTGGAAGAGAAGTAGCAGTGGTGGTAGAGACAGTGTCAGTGATGATAGAGACAGTGTTAATGGTAGTAGAGACAGTAGCAGTGATGGTAGAGAGTGTCAGTGGTGGTAGAGACAGTAGCAGTGGTGGTAGAGACAGTGTCAGTGGTGGTAGAGACAGTAGTAGTAGTGGTAGAGACAGTAGCAGTGATGGTAGAGTGTCAGCTGTGGTAGAGACAGTAGCAATGTTGGTAGAGACGGTGTCAGTGGTGGTAGAGACAGTAGCAGTGGTGGTAGAGACAGTAGCAGAGGTGGTAGAGACAGCGTCATTGGTGGTAGAGACAGTAGCAGAGGTGGTAGAGACAGTAGCAGAGGTGGTAGAGACAGTAGCAGAGGTGGTAGAGACAGCGTCAGTGGTGGTAGAAACAGTAGCAGTGATGGTAGAGACAGTGTCACTGGTGGTAGAGACAGTAGCAGTGGCGGTAGAGAAAGTGGTGGTGAGCAGCGTACTGACAGCTGACAGACTCTTGGAGCCATACGGGTTCACTGTGAAAAGCACAGTGTTGCCTTCACACGTGTGTGGCATGTTACTACCAACATTCCCTTGGTATCTTTTCTTACATACAAACATGTGTTCCACCTCACAGTGACTCTCACATGATGAAGCTATCAGTGTTAAGCACCAACACCCCTCTCATTTACCTATATATATATATTATATATATATATATATATATATATATATATATTATATTGTGTGTGTGTGTGTTGTGTGTGTGTGTAGTGTGTGTGTGTGTGTGTGTGTGTGTGTGTGTGTGTGTTTGTGTGTGTGTGTGTGTGTGTGTGTGTGTGTGTGTGTGTGTGTGTGTGTGTGAAACATTATTTCAGTTTTCGCACTGACGTCTCCACGGAAATATCAAGACATCAATAGTTGATGTTCTTGTCTAGGAAACTTAGGGAGATGTCACCTGACATCTCTCTGAGAGTTTTGGCTGGTACTTTCACTAATGTCTAATACTGTTTTGACTTATATTTGGCACTGTAATACTTTCACTTACATCTCATACTGTGTATGTCAACATGTGTAATCCAAGATCACAGAAGGAATAATTTCGTTGCTGGTGGCAGTTCAGTGCCACCTATAATAACACTGAGGGGGCAGCGCCCCCCTCTCTCTACCTTGGCACTTCGCGGCTTTCTTCGTAGGCCTACGATAATAGGCCTAATTAGCCACTCATAAGTGTTCATTTAGGAAAAAATGAATCCTTTTTGACACGGTGGAAACAACTTGTTTCTTGACACGGAGAGGGTCAGGAGTCTCAAGCAGAGGACTCCACTCCTGCTGTTTGCAGCACCTGCTAGCAGGGAGTGAGACAGCTCACACTGCTTGCTTTCAAAGTGAGAAAAGCAAGAGCTACAGTTTGACAGTTGAGTTAGACGGGCATGTGTCCAGTAGGAGGAGAGCTTTAGCAAGATATTTCTCTGTGTTCTCGCGTCTCGTGGATAATGTACGGTTCGTGGTCGTATTCCGAACCCCTCACCTGGACATTGACATATTGCAGGGGTGGTGGAATGCATGGCAGAGTGGCAGGGTCCAGAGGCAGGGTGCTGGCACTGCTGTTGCTGTGCGCAGTGTTGCTGCTGTTGCTGACACTACTGTTGTTGCTGCTGCTGCTGCTATTGTTGCTACTGCCGCTGTTGTTGTAGCGGTGAGGGTGGTAGTGATGTGAACGCCTTGTGGAGCCAGGTTGAATGGGATTGGGCTCGGCACGTTCACCTGGTCGCATAAGTCGTTCACGGACCTCTTGAGACCTCGGAGAGTCAGGGGGAGAAGACTTGAGCAATGGCTGTGTGGATTGTGACTCGGCCATCCTTGAGGGCGTGTGTGAGGGCGTGCGAGAGACCATGGCTGTAGGAGGGGGTACTGACTTGGTCCTGGGGAGCGCTACGGTTGGCCGGGGGTCGTTGGTGAAGCTGGTTTCCCAGGTGGGTGGTGGAGGTGGAGGTGGAGCTGCCTCCAGTAACCGCTCCATCTGGCAGCAGTCGGTGCCTGAGTCTATGGAGGGAGTGGAGTTGAGTTCAGAGCGGACAGTGGAGAGGGAATACGAAGAGGGTAAAGGTATCAGGTAGTCTGTAGAGGCGGGGCTTTGGGGTTCGTCGCAGCGTCTAGAGACGGTCAGACATGCGTCGTTATCCAGCGGACGCATCACCGTAGCGTCCCTTTCTGCTGAGGGCGGCCGCTGGAACACAGGCAACACGTGACTCACAACATCAGGGTCCTGAAAGGCAAAGCACAACACTCATAAAAACACAAGAATATGACTGATCACTTCAGAATTGCCTCTTGAACTTCGGCTGTTCTCCAGTGTTGCAGTCTCCTGTGCTCAGCTGAAAAAGCCTGTTGAGCTGGAGATACGTTTCTGTACGTGTTGCACGTGTCTTGTTCATTAAGCTGTCAGTGTCATGCACTTTAACATGCATATAAATGGTCCAGAGCCTCGACAAGGTGATAAATTAGACACATACGCAACACTTGTGGAAACATTTCGCCACACTGGCTTCATCAGTCTTATACAAAGAAGAATGACAAGGATCAAAAGGAGTTTGAGCTAATCAGTTCCTCATCCTGGAGTCGATGTAATCAGACCATCAGTCTTTTCAAAACTGAAAAGATTGAGGGACTGATATCCTCAAAGTCCTTCCGATCTTCACTATTCTTCTTTGTATTGGACTGATGAAGCCACTGTGTGGCGAAACGTTTCCAAAATAAAGATACCCAAGTGTCGCACATGAGTCTAATTTATCACTTTAAACATGGGAAGAACAGAGGAGCACTGCAGAAGGTCTACTGGAATCAGACACATGTGTAACATCTGGATACCTGTATTTCGAAGACGTTTCGCTAACCAGCTGGCGAAAGAGAGAGAGAGAGAGAGAGAGAGAGAGAGAGAGAGAGAGAGAGAGAGAGAGAGAGAGAGAGAGAGAGAGAGAGAGAGAGAGAGAGAGAGAGAGAGAGAGAGAGCAACTCACAACCCATCCATACGAGAGGAAATTGTAGAAGACGATGTTTCGGTTCCTCCCTGAACCATTATCGGTCCAAAAACATCAAACGCTAGTGAGTTATCTACAAGGCGAGGAACGCTGTAGGCTCGATCCTCCTTACAACGATAGTCGACTCACACAGCCACGATTACTTTATTCGGTTACCTTTGTTTACGACGAGAGAAGTGTAAAGTGAATTATATTTCTTAATGTCGAAATAAATCATTTATTATTAAATCTGTTGACTTTCAGATTTATGCTGTCAACAGAGACAATTTTTCCACACGCTGACATCTCCAGGTTGTCAGCTGGATTGTCAGTATCTCTGCTGACGATGCTGATACTGGGTGTACAGTTTTAAGATGCTGACACTAGAGGTTAGTAGCCACCAGCTGACACTGGAATTGTAGTCTATAAAATACCTTTCCTTGAGACTGTCAGCTGCTAAACATCAGTTGTAAAAATCAGCAGCTAGACATCAGCTGATAGATACCAGCTGATAGACATCAGCTGATAGATATCAGCTGATAGATACCAGCTGATAGACATCAGCTGATAGATATCAGCTGATAGATACCAGCTGATAGACATCAGCTGATAGATATCAGCTGATAGATACCAGCTGATAGACATCAGCTGATAGATATCAGCTGATAGATATCAAAAGTAAAACATCAGCTGAATCACATTAGCTCTCACTACTCTGTCTGACGGGAGAAACATAAGATGATTCTCCACAAGGGCGAAACAGCGACTAACGATGAGAAATAAGGGTCGAGGAACTCATAAATATTAACCAACTTATCTGGGTAAGAGAGCGCCAGCTGCGGCTTCATTAACCACCTGCTGAGAGGACTGACAGCTGGTTAAGACTGAGGGAGGAAGGTCCACGATTTAATTCTCACCAGCTGAGAGATGTTTCCACATCTCAGCTGGTCTCCAAGACACCAGAAACTATCCCAGGGATGCTATCGTCCCTAGGATGCCGCCCACACCAGCTGGTTTACACTCACACACACACACACACACACACACAGTCATAGAGTAGGAGGCAGGAACCATACATAGTTTTAAGGCGAGGTATGATAGAGCTCATGGGGCAGGGAGAGAGAGGACCTAGTAGCAATCAGCGAAGAGGCGGGGCCAGGAGCTGTGACTCGACCCCTGCAACCACAAATACACACACACACACACACACACACACATACACAGAAGTGTCCTTGTTTGCGGACGATGTGAAGTTAATGAGAAGAATCAAATCGGATGAGGATCAGGCAGGACTACAAAGAGACCTGGACAGGCTACAAGCCTGGTCCAGCAACTGGCTCCTTGAGTTTAACCCTGCCAAATGCAAAGTCATGAAGATTGGGGAAGGGCAAAGAAGACCGCAGACACAATATAGTTTAGATGGCCAAAGTCTGCAAACTTCACTCAAGGAAAAAGATCTGGGGGTGAATATAACACCGAGCATATCTCCCGAGGCGCACATCAATCAGATAACTGCTGCAGCATACCGGCGCCTGGCAAACCTACGGATAGCGTTCCGATACCTCAGTAAGGATTCGTTCAAGACTCTGTATACCATTTACGTCAGGCCCATACTGGAGTATGCAGCACCAGTTTGGAATCCACACCTAGTCAAGCACGTCAAGAAATTAGAGAAAGTGCAAAGGCTTGCAACAAGACTAGTCCCAAAGCTACGGGGATTGTCCTACGAAGAAAGGTTGAGGGAAATCGGCCTGACGACAATGGAGGCCAGGAGGGTCAGGGGAGACATGATAACGACATATAAAATACGGCGCGGAATAGACGAGGTGGACAAAGACGGGATGTTCCAGAGATGGGACACAGAAACAAGAGGTCACAGTTGGAAGTTGAAGACTCAGATGAATCAAACGGATGTTAGAAAGTATTTCTTCAGTCATAGAGTAGTCAAGCCGTGGAATAGCCTAGAAAGTGAAGTAGTGGAGGCGGGAACCATACATAGTTTTAAGGCGAGGTATGATAAAGCTCATGGAGCAGGGAGAGAGAGGACCTAGTAGCAGTCAGTGAAGAGGCGGGGCCAGGAGCTATGAATCGACCCCTGCAACCACAAATAGGTGAGTACAAATAGGTGAGTACACACACATCAACCTGACGACACTGGAGGACAGGAGAGATAGGGGGGCATGATAACGACATACAAAATACTGAGAGGAATTGACAAGGTGGACAAAGACAGGATGTTCCAGAGACTGGACACAGCAACACGGGGACACAGTTGGAAGTTGAAGACACAGATGAATCACAGGGATGTTAGGAAATATTTCTTCAGCCACAGAGTAGTCAGGAAGTGGAATAGTTTGGGAAGCGATGTAGTGGAGGCAGGATCCATACATAGCTTTAAGCAGAGGTATGATAAAGCTCACGGTTCAGGGAGAGTGACCTAGTAGCGATCAGTGAAGAGGCGGGGCCAGGAGCTCGGACTCGACCCCTGCAGCCTCAACTAGGTGAGTGCAACTAGGTGAGTACACACGCGCACACACACACACACACACACACACACACACACACACACACACACACACACACACACACACACACACACACACACACACACACACACACGCACACACACACACACACAGCGGGAACGCTTCACTCTGGAGGTCCCAAGGTTGTAATAGCAGTGATGTATAACCCACCACAGAACAATAGGAGGCCAAGGCAAGAGTACGACGAGAGCAATAGAGCGATGGTTGACACACTGGCTGCAGTGGCCAGAAGAGCTCATGCATGCAGGGCAAAGCTCCTGATCATGGGTGACTTTAACCACAAGGAGATCGATTGGGAGAACTTGGAGCCACATGGGGGCCAAGATACATGGAGGGCTAAGATGATGGAGGTGATACTGGAAAACTTCATGTACCAACACGTAAGGGACACTACAAGAGAGAGAGGAGAGGATGAACCAGCAAGACTGGACTTAGTATTCACCTTGAGTAGTGCAGATATCGAGGACATCACATATGAAAGACCCCTTGGGGCCAGCGATCATGTGGTTTTAAGCTTCGATTACACAGTAGAGCTAAAAGTGGAGGCAGAAGCAGGAAGGCCAGGACGAATGAAGCCAAATTACAAGAAAGGGGACTACACGGGAATGAGGAACTTCCTGAACGGGGTTCAGTGGGACAGAGAACTGGCAGGGAAGCCAGTTAATGAGATTATGGAATATGTAGCAACAATATGCAAGGAGGTTGAGGAGAGGTTTGTACCCAAGGGTAACAGGAATAATGAAAAAGCCAGGAAGAGCCCATGGTTCACCCAAAGGTGCAGGGAGACAAAAACCAAGTGTGCTAGGGAATGGAAGAAATATAGAAGGCAAAGGACCCAGGAGAATAAAGAGAGCAGTCGTAGAGCCAGAAACGAATATGCAAAGATAAGAAGGGAAGCCCAAAGACAATATGAAAACGACATAGCAGCGAAAGCCAAATCTGACCCGAAACTGTTATACAGCCACATCAGGAGGAAAGCAACAGTCAAGGACCAGGTAATCAGGCTAAGGAAGGAAGGAAGGAGGAGAGACAACAGGAAATGACCGTGAAGTATGTGAGGAACTCAACAAGAGATTCAAAGAAGTGTTCACAGAGGAGACAGAAGGGGCTCCAGAAAGACAAAGAGGTGGGTCACACCACCATGTGCTGGACACAGTGCACACAACCGAGGAAGAAGTGAAGAGGCTTCTGAGTGAGCTAGATACCTCAAAGGCAATGGGGCCAGATAACATCTCCCCATGGCTCCTGAGAGAGGGAGCAGAGGCGCTATGTGTACCCCTAACAATAATATTCAATACATCTATCGAAATAGGGAGATTGCCTGAGGCATGGAAGACAGCAAATGTAGTCCCAATCTTTAAAAAAGGAGACAGACATGAAGCACTAAACTACAGACCAGTGTCACTGACATCATGGAGAAGATTATCAGGAGAAGAGTGGTGGAACACCTAGAAAGGAATGATCTCATCAACAGCAGCCATCATGGTTTCAGGGATGGGAAATTCTGTGTCACAAACCTACTGGAGTTCTATGACATGGTGACAGCAGTAAGACAAGAGAGAGAGGGGTGGGTGGATTGCATATTCTTGGACTGCAAGAAGGCGTTTGACACAGTTCCACACAAGAGATTAGTGCAAAAACTGGAGGACCAAGCAGGGATAACAGGAAAGGCACTACAATGGATCAGGAATACTTGTCAGGAAGACAGCAGTGAGTCATGGTGCGTGGCGAAGTGTCAGAGTGGGCACCTGTGACCAGCGGGGTCCCACAGGGGTCAGTCCTAGGACCAGTGCTGTTTCTGGCATTTGTGAACGACATGACGGAAGGAATAGACTCTGAGGTGTCCCTGTTTGCAGATGACGTGAAGTTGATGAGAAGAATTCACTCGATCGAAGACCAGGCAGAACTACAAAGGGATCTGGACAGGCTGCAGACCTGGTCCAGTAATTGGCTCCTGGAGTTCAATCCCACCAAGTGCAAAGTCATGAAGATTGGGGAAGGGCAAAGAAGACCGCAGACGGAGTACAGTCTAGGGGGCCAGAGACTACAAACCTCACTTAAGGAAAAAGATCTTGGGGTGAGTATAACACCAGGCACATCTCCTGAAGCGCACATCAACCAAATAACGGCTGCAGCATATGGGCGCCTAGCAAATCTCAGAACAGCATTCCTACACCTTAATAAGGAATCGTTCAGGACCCTGTACACCGTGTACGTTAGGCCCATATTGGAGTATGCGGCACCAGTTTGGAACCCACACCTAGCCAAACACGTAAAGAAACTAGAGAAAGTGCAAAGGTTTGCAACAAGACTAGTCCCAGAGCTAAGAGGTATGTCCTACGAGGAGAGGTTAAGGGAAATCAACCTGACGACACTGGAAGACAGGAGAGATAGGGGGGACATGATAACGACATACAAAATACTGAGAGGAATTGACAAGGTGGACAAAGACAGGATGTTCCAGAGATTGGACACAGTAACAAGGGGACACAGTTGGAAGTTGAAGACACAGATGAATCACAGGGATGTTAGGAAGTATTTCTTCAGCCACAGAGTAGTCAGTAAGTGGAATAGTTTGGGAAGCGATGTAGTGGAGGCAGGATAAATACATAGCTTTAAGAAAAGGTATGATAAAGCTCACGGCTCAGGGAGAGTGACCTAGTAGCAATCAGTGAAGAGGCGGGGCTAGGAGCTCGGACTCGACCCCTGCAACCTCAACTAGGTGAGTACAACTAGG